AATAGAGGATAAGTCTATGGTATATTAGTATTCAACGTCTCAGGGTTGCGTCGGGTTTATGCACATGAGGTGAGTTGCCGAAAATTATATTCCGTTTTATACCACGTTTTGTCTCGATCATACCGTAACACTTTCAATGGCTTTTTAGGATTTTATGATACCGTTTTGACTTGTATTTCCCCGAGGAATAGGAGTTTGTGGTAGTCTTCGAGGTAATAAAATGGTTAGATACTATTTTTTTGGAACTAGGAAGAACGAGCTCTATTTATCTTCGATCCAACATAAGACAGCTGACACGGGAACTGATGAAGTCTTACCCTATCTCGTGGAACGTCCCGATTGGATTCGCTGAAGGATATAGTGATAAGTACCACCCAGTGGATGTTTCTTTATTTTTTTTTTGCCTAGTGCGCACACATAAGGAAAACATTTGCTGTGCATGAACAAGCCGAGTATTTTTTCCTTACAGCCTTATAAAATTTATATATACTTGTTTAGATTGATTTAGTTTTATTAATAAGTAGGTGCGTTCTAAGATAAAGACTGATTTTTATAGACTTTATTCTGGAACCGTTCTCTCTCGAGTTTTTTTGCCTTTACCTCTAAATTTTGTATAATTTGTATTATAATATTGTTACGTTTTCCCCCGTGGGTTGACCAATAATTGACTACACTGAATAATCAAACTTAACTTTATTTCACTTTGAATACAACAAACATTTCAACTAAAAATTTCAACTATCATTTTAATGTCTATCGCCTTAGGTACTAGATCACTTCGCGTACCGCACTATAAGGTCCATTTGACTGTGTACTTGACTGTCTCGATTCGCTCATAGCCAGCGTTTAAATATCGTAATCGAACATCGTAGAATTTTCGCGGAAGTTCCATCGACATCGGTAGCATGACTCTCACTGCTTCCCGAGCGGCAGGTAACATTGGGCATCCCCGCGCTCTTAGCTACGTCACGTTTGGTTTATAGTTACCAGTGGCGGCCGGCGTTATTTCCTTTCGGGCATGATTTATAACAATATATTTACTGCTGTTATAGAGTCCTATTTATACCATTCACCTATTTTTTTAATTTCAAGTAAGCAAGTAAGCCAATTGGATTTAATGATTTCAGCTTTAAGAGAGGTGTATGTTTTATTTTGTTGTAAATCACATGGCGCCCTCTCATGCATTTTCATAATAATAATAAGACCCACACCCGACTCTACTGAGATATTAATCGATGCATACACCTAAACTGTTCTATCGCTAAGAAAAGCAGGTAACACTTTCATATTTTAAAAATTTGTAGAAAATGAATATATAGGGTGACAATTTGAAAACTTACAATGGCTATATCTGACCAACCAGATAAAATATAAAAAATCACCGAAAACAACTTCTATAATAGGGAGGAGGAGGAATCAAAATGATGTGGAAACTAACATATTTTCATTTATCCTCTCACCCCCAGCCACCTCAACTTTATATTCTTGAATGACAACCCCTACTTGTGATACCTTATCTAAAAGCTCTTTAGAAATGCTCTTCAATGGTACCCTACAAAGCTACATTTGATGTAGTAAGTTTTGGTTTATTAAATAAAACACTATTTATTCAATTCGAAATTTCATTTTCTTTTACTAATTTACGAAATGTTTAAAAACTTACTTATTAATATCGTATTAATAGTGCACCTGCACTATTTTTGTTTAATTTTTGATACATTTGATTTTCATTTTTAAACATAAACGAGAATCAGAATTTTTATCTGCAACAATAGGGAACAACACAGCTAAACATGTGGAAATGATTTTTATTTATGGAAGAGAATATCACTGTTTGTTAAAAAAACTAAATTATTCAATCAGAGGTACCCGGAGAGAAATATAAGTCACTTGTACATTCGCCACCAAGTAGCCAAATTTCAAGAAACTGGAACTGTCACGAATAAAAAATGAGATCAAACAAGATTACTGGACAAATCAACGCAAATAATTGAAGTACTCGGATATTTTGCAATGAATCATACTTTATCGACTCGTCAGGCAGCTACAGCAACCGGATTATCCCGCGAATCTGTTAGAGAAGTACTTAAATTATATAAATTTCATCTATATTAAATGCAAATCCTTCAAGAATTTGGTGACTATGATACCGACAGAATAATTGAATTTTGTGAAATTATGACAGCTAGAATTATCGCAGAACCTTGGCTCATCAAAAATATTTGCTTTGGTAGCAAGTGCACTTTTTATTTAATTGGGCACCAAATAAACAAAGCTGTCGTTACTGAAGTATGACGAGAACCCACGACAATTTTGAGAAGGGTATGCGCAATAGCCCGAAAAAGTTAATGTTTGGGCTGGTATATTTGAAGATGCAATTATTTGTCCATTATTGCCACATTATTGGTCTTGACATCGTTGAAAAAATCTGTTGAAATATGTTTTTCCGTTCACGAGCTTTCGCCCCACTACGAACGACAACCCTCAAAAATGTAAATTTGGGCGAGCTGAGGGTTAAAGAGGTCTCAGTTTTCTACGTGCGTCTCCTAGAATTGTTATTAACTATTTGCAATCGACTTATAGCGAATATGTTGCTTGTGTACGGAGAATCTCAGAAAAATTATCGAGTAAGGAACGTTTTTCTCATCTACCGTCACATGTAATTTTTCGTAGAGTGAAAAAAAATATGCTCAACATCGAGCACCAGTCAGAAGTGAATAAAATGAAATTAGTGTTCTGATATATGCTGAATTAAAGATACATATTTCAGTTCGAGTGTTCAGAGAATAAAAAAAAGGTATCATG